GTTTATTTTAAATTTATTCCAATTATAATTGTGTGTGGTATTTTGTATTCAAGAATGAACAAGAGTAATTAAGGTTTAATGCATGAATGAATTTGTCTTTAGAAATATGAGTGTGATAAATGTATAGTTTAAGTGTCAATATATTGTTTATGAGTATATAATTCTATAAGTATGAACGAATTCGAACTTTTTATTCATTTAGTTAACTGGCACATGTTATTGTTCAAACATTTCTTGCATGATGTACATAATCGGTGGCTCTTATTTTGCAACACATTTGTCAAGTCTTGAACTGTTTCTTTAAGTTTGTCTCTTGTAAAGTGATATTTTCATTCATAAAATATATAGTTTAAAGTGTAACTTAAATGAACTTCCTTGTTCTTTCAATAAAGGAGGGGAGTTTAACTTCAATGTTCTACTTAATCAGGCCTCAGACCACAATTAATTTCACTACATGTTCTATATAAACATTAAACCCTGTGGCAATTTTACTAACTCTCCAATCAAATCAAAGTCATTTGTGCTTACAGTACCATCCAACCAGTCTGATGTCTGAGACCGTTTTCAGTAATTAGCCGGAACCATGTTAGTTCTGTCATGTAGAAAAACATTAAAAAATTATTTACTCGCATAAAATCTGGATCAAAATTGGGGTTTACCAACTATTTGAAATGAATGCTGTCAGGAAATGACCTTTTTTCTATCTCTTTCATTCAATTATTCATTTATATCTGGCATTAAACACAGGCACTCTTTTATGCGGATTTACTTCCTTATTGTGGTCAACGAAAAGCAAATAACTGTGGACGGATTCCTATTTTACACTGTTTTATTTAAAATGTGCGGAGCTGTAAATAAACATACGGGTACGTTTTAAATGTTCTATATTTAAGTGCAAACTGGGTTCCCAGTTGTTTTGTCAATGATCTAATTTAGTCGTTTATATTTCAATAATCATTTGTTAAAATATGCCATATGCATATGGATCTGATTTTCCTTTTTATGTCGGTGCGTCATTAGCGTTAACCAATAAATTAACGACACGTGTGTAGCTAACATATTAAAGTTTCGAAATAAAACTTTTATTTAAAGACACTTGTTAATAGTTTTAGAGTAACTTTGGTCAGATATGGACTACAGAATAAGAGAAATTAACATAATCCTAAAGTGTGGCTGTGGGATAGTTTGCAAATTTATTTGCATATTGATGGTGTTAAGAGGTAAGTCTTAGAAATATAAAATTAATTCTTTATACGTTTTAACATTAAACAGAATTACAAAATAAATGTGTTCCTCAATTAGAAAATTCAGGCTGTCTGTATAACGTCAGGAAACTGATTGACAATATATTTATATCATAGATGTTTGGTTGGTTGGTATAAAAATCACTGGTTACTATGCAAAGTCAATGCTTGCTGTAAAAGTCACTGGTTGCTATGGAAAGTCATTACTTGCTTGCTATGGAAAGTCATTACTTGCTATGTAAAGTTAATGTTTGCGATGGAAATCATTTTTGTAATGGCAACTCAAAGGTTGCTATGATATAAAATTATTGCTTTCAAAAATTGATATTTTAGAAGTCACTGGATGCTATTGAAAGCCAATGGTTGCTATGGTAAACAGTGTTTGATTTGGAGCCACTGTTGCCTTTGGAAAGTCAGGGTTTTTATGGAAGTCACTTGTTATTAAACAAAGTCAATGATTGCTATAGAAGTCACTTGATGCTTTTGAAAGCCAATGGTTGCTATGGAGGTCACCGGTAATAAATAAAAACGATGATTGCTATGGAAGTCACTGGTTACTATGGAAAATCAGGGAGGGGTTGCTATGAAAGTAACTGGTTGTTATCAAAGGCTTAAAAAAGATGCAAAAACATACAAAGCGATTATTGAAAGAGATGGGAAAAACAATCAAAATGAATCATAAACTTAAGAGTTAATTTTCATATATATATTTTTTTAATGTTATTGTTACTGTCAGCAACTGCACTATAGACACGAGAATATGTTTACAATGATTACTTTGCTTAACCAGAAATCGAAACTAAAAGCACTCGGTTTTATTTTTTACAAGTTGCGTTTGTATGCAAACGTTGTACATACTTTATTTCAATTCTAACACTATCGGAAAATTGTCTATATAAGCAAAGAAGGCCTGAAGCGTACATTATTTTACAACAATGCACTCATCGTTCTTATAACCTCCCTGTGTATTTTCAAATCGACACATTGACGGCGCCATTTTGTTTGAAAAATCGGTTAAATAAAAAACATTATTTTGTGGAATCTCGTTGTGAAAACTTTGCATAATGAAAGGAAATGGTCTTACTAAGAAAATGAATCGAACACTTATATCTTAAATTAAGTCGTTAACGCTGTACAGACGTTTAAAGTGTTGTTTACGTGACTTCACATTGTAAACCAAACAGCACGTGCAAAAACAAATCAAATCAGGAACGTTATTTTAAGGTCGCAAACGAGCTATTTTTCACATGTATTTCAATATACATACTTTGTATTTCGCTCGAAAAATATATAGTGAAATAAAATAAACAAGTTTTATCAACGTTTTCAAAATTCGTTATTCTCAAAATGTTTCTACACACGCTAGATTTAACGACAATTTTTTTAAACCAACTGGAAATGCCTTTTAAAACGTTTCTATTGGAAACAATGTGGCGAAAACAAATTTAACCACCAAACATAAAGTCAAACTATAAAATGATTATTATAATTTTTCTTGACTTGTTAGAATAGAAATAAATATTAATTATTATGCATTATAGTTAAATAATGAACGATTTTTCGTTCTTATGCTTTGTAATTAATCACTCAGGCTTATCGGCCTTCGTGATTATATTACTTCTCATTTGAACTCAAGCCATACAATATTCTACAACAATGCACTCTTTCTCCTTATATGAAAAGTATATTTTTTAATATATTGCTAATAAGATCTTAACTCTAATAAGATAAGCGTGTATAAGTGAAACAAAGAAATGTTAAAAACCAATATTAAAACTTCCGTCGAATGTCTCTCAAACAACATACTGGTTATCAAATAAAGTCAATAGTTGCTACGGAAGTCACTTGTTGTTATGGAAGTGACTGGTTTGTAAGGAAAGCCAAAGGTTGATATGGAAGCCAGTTGTTACTTAAGAAATACAAAAGAATTCAATGGTTGATTAGGAAGACATTGTTGCTGTTATATTCAGTAGTTGCTAAGGAAGTCAACGTTGCTATTTAAGTTACTTATTGCTAAAGAAGTCAGTGGTTGAGGCTACAATACAATATTAATGATTTCTATAGAAGTCATGGGTTGCTTTGACAACCGCTGGTTTCTGACTTATCTCAATGGTCGCTTTGGAAGTCAGTGAATGGAAAGTCAATGATTGCTTTGAAGGTCAATGGTTGCTATGGAAGTCAATGGGTGCCTTGAAAATCACTGGTTACTATGAAAAAAAGTCAATTGTAGCCGAGTAAAGTCACTAGTTTCTATAAAAATTTAGTAGTTACTTTTAAATTCATAATGGAAAATCAGATGTTGCTAAGGAAGTCACTCGTTAGAAACAGAAAGTCATTAGTTAATTCATGCCCCTTAGCTATATAGGTAAACCAACTTAATAGTAGATAATGTTTCATGTTTAATATCTTTGGTCAAGACTTCTGGCTTCACAGTTGGTGAGCTTTTAACCGCAGGTTTTTAATTTGAATAACCAGGTTTAATATACAGTTTTCTAGTCTGATTGAAAAAGGGACAAGTCAATAAATAGTGAAACTCGTCTTCAATTTCTTGGGTATTATTCTCATCCAAACACAAGTGACATATTCTTTTATTATGGTATATATTTTGCCATCTTCCTGTTTCACATGGGAAGTAATGGTTCCGCATCTAAATTCATTAAGAAACGGCCAGACAGACCTTTTTAGGTTAAGGGAATAGTCCTCAAATTTTATTGACTCCTTGAAAATTGAGTAAAATAGTCCTAAAGATTTATTGACTCCTTGAAAATAGAGTAATTTGGTCCTTTAGTTGAGACTTGCACAAATGCCTGGCAGTTTTGATAATGTTGGTCTAATAATATTTGTTTTATGCATTGACTAAATTTTTACTTCGTAGATTATCTTGATTATCTCTTATACCGTTTCGCCCTATTTCATAACAAATATCATTTTTTTCCTTTATGAATCAATACATAATTGCACTGTTATATATATCAATACAGTTTTCAAATTCTCATTGAAAGTGTATTGAATATAATGGGTAATTAGTAAGAACAACGAAAAAGTTCCAAACATGCGACAAAGAACCTTTATGACAGAAGTATTCAGATAAATTATACTATGATCATGAAAACGTCAAATGGTTACAATCCTGAATATAATTTGAATATAAGATTAAAAGTTAATAAAATATTTAACAGGTACAATAATGGAATATATTTTAATTCTCACATCGCTTTAGAAATCATATAAGACCCATCTGGCAGTTTCTCAAATAGTATTTCTACACCTGTGTACTCGTCCAATTATAATATTTTCACGTAATACAAATACAGTTCCGTGTTTTTATTTTTACCTATGATACAAAAGAGAAAGAACATAAAACACTCGGCAATCTGATTTGTACTCGGGGCTACACCTTCTTGTACAAATCAGCCTCGTGTTCTGATGCTCTTTCTCTTACATAACCTACATGTGTTGTTCCAGAACAAGTAACAAATAATTTGTATTTTATGTATAGATTTTGTATCTGTTTTGTTGTAATTTTTCTTTTATTTGTTTATTTGTTTTTAATTTGTAGTTGTTCTTTGCATTGTATATGTATGTCATATAACTACAAACATTTCTGTATTGATCAGAACAGAAATATGGTACGAACTTGAAATACTCAAATTTATATGATGCGCTCATGATTGAACATGATGCGTTTCCGATTGGACGTGATGCGCATACGGATGAACATTATGCGCATACGGTATTAACTACACTCAGCATTGGCATTGATATTGTAGTTCCACTCGTAATACACCTGCAAGACTCTAACACCAGGTATCAAAGGGACAGAATCACATCAGGCGCAATAGGATTAAACTCACTTGGATGTAAGCAACTTAATTTTTATTCATTTTATCCATTTTTAACTACCCTCGATTAAATCAATATAAAATAATACATAGATACACCTGTGAATGAAATTGGCATTTTTTACTAGTTATATTACTGTTAATGCAAATCGTCTACTTCTTATTACAAATTTTTTCAATATTTTCAATAAATTGGACTTGAATTTCTTTCTTTCTTATTTGGAAGTTACCTACCTGACCCTCGGTGGCTCTAAATTAATTTCCTCTTTCGTGACTGAAAGATTTTAATGGTGGGGCGATTAAGGTCTTACGCCGCAAGTAAGAAAGTCGCCATATGAAATAATGTTACTGTACCAGTGTGACTATCTCTTACATACTTTTATCAGTAAGGTTCGAATACCATTGAAAATTGCTTTCAACTTTTCATATTTTATATTTTAATGGGCAGTTCTCCATTAAGAAAATATATTAAAGTGTAATAGTAGATCTTTAATCTTATAGCAGCGTTGAAGATTATTGCAACCCTTGGAGAGATCATGAGGAAAAACGATATACCTCAATTTTGCTGCGCATGTGCACTATTGGAACTAGCCTTTGTAAGTTTAATATGTTTTTTTTTTCTTTAATTGAAGACACAAAAGCCGGATAGGGATATAAATAGAATTATGTCGAGATATTTAAACCAATGCACATTGAGACATGTATTTTCATTATTATATAAAGGTATTTGTTTCTTTGCAACAACCACTTAAACAACTTTGATATTCTTCTATTTTTCAGACCGCTGGGATGGGAATCTATCACTTTATCCTAGATGAGTTCAATAGATGGTAGGAAGAAGAAGAGAGGAGCAAAAAAAATCAGCTTTAACAATAGACAATGAACATTGTACTCTAAAATATGAAAACTTTCAATTCAAAGATGTTTAAATAATACAGCATAGAAACAACTCTGTAAAAAGGACACAACTCTCTGCGCAAACTATCATCAAAACAATATGATCGGAAATATTTTCTTGAAATACTGTACACCTAAGTGTAAAACACATTTTTATTTTTCTCAACGAACACCTAAGATAAGGGAAGACAAATAAGATCAAAAGTTTTAATCGAAATATTTCTTTTATTAATTTTCGCCTTATAACAAGCTTGATTTTATAAGTATTTCCCGATGGTTTTGTAGATTTATGAATATTAAATTTGAATTTGTTACTAAATCCATTAAATTGGGGATGGGAAAGTGGTCAAATTTAGTACGTGCGTGAAAACAATTCTATGTATCTAAAATGATCGCTTCTCTCTTCTTCATATCACTTTATGTGTGGTAAACATGGACTTACGTATATCTTATATACTCCAACTTACTAATTCTTCAATCATGCATACTTTTATTTCAAATACTGATAACATATAGCATAAAATGATAACAACTGCATGATTGACATCATAATAACAAAAATTAGTGACTAAAAGGGAAAAAAATGTCAGGAGTTCCTTCCCCTTACATTGCGTTATGGTTTGATTGAAAAAAGAAAAAGAAGTCTTACAATCAGAAAAGCGACCCACATGTTTTGTTTTGCCTGGAATTGTTGCTCCTTTTGTAAATTGCTGTTGTTGTTTTTTTCTGCTTTAATTTTGTTCGATCAATTTGTATTTGCAAAACATAATGTGCAAAATCATACATTTAATATTGAGAATTATGACGATTATATGGTTTATTGTAGTGTAACTTAGTTTCTTTTGTTTCATTTATGCTTGGCATCGGAATTAACCATACGCCCGAGATACATCACCGTCCTTACCGGCCACGTTGGGGACGTCTATTTCACGCTGCCGATCTGTAAGATGTTCTGCGTTTGAAGACACCAATCTAGCCAAGGTAGTGATTTATTCAAAACGTCTCTTGTTATCGTCACCCTTCCGATTCTAAAACGACTCGTGTTATCGACTCCTTCAAGAGTAAGTCACGTCACAGGGTCCCTATAATGTTATTATAACGTTTGTCCCAACCCTTTTGTATATTTACATTATTGTATTTATGTAAAATTGTGAAAAAATATGTATGTATATATATACACACAATAAAATATGTTTAAACTAACAAAACAGGTCAACCAACCATTCCTGGTACATAGGATGACTTGACCTTGACCTGTCGTGTGCTTTTTCCGCGACATGCATGCCCCGGGAACGATCTGGAGTATAACAATATAACCTCGCCTAACGACTCAAGCTATCTATCACGTATGGTGGCTGATTTGGAAGACTTTTGTGTTTCGTGTTGTCGCAAGCGATGGCACGGAAAAGCGACGGGGCCACATCGCAACAAAGCGCCGCACGACAACGAGCCATTTGGCGTGCTTCTCTTGCGACAAGACGACATAGTTGGCGCGATTCGCTAGTGACAAGACGAAAAGGCGATAACGATATGTGTTGTGTTGTCGCCATCGACAACGCAATGGGCAAAGTGTACTAAATCAGCCACCATATTTACGTACTTTTATACTGGGTAATATAACTTATTATACTTTGACTATCCGAAAAATGAAAAAAAAAATCAGCTTTGTGGCAAAAAAAATCGATATTTTGGCACTAATCAATAAATAAAATTTTGACATCAAATCTTACTGGAAAAAAACTTAAAAGAAAACGTATAAGTAACCGTATGTAAGTTTTGATAAATAAAATTCCACAATTTTCTCATGAAAAAATCACCAAAAATGCATTGTGGTTCCGCTGGTGAAGAAATCACCTCGACACTAAACCGTGTAATTTAAAGAAAGGTGGAATGCTTAACATTGTATTGCTTCCCTATTATATGTTACTAATACCACAAAACAGAACAAAACAATTTATTTGTCGACTATAAACACAGCAGCATTCTGTCTTGTAACATTGATTCAGAAGATTCCGCTCTTAATTTAGAATCAATTACACCATGTCAAGTATTCCACAGAGGAATAAAAATCCCTGAAAATCGGCTTTTTTTATTTTCACTATCCAAACAAATTGGTCTGTAATATCATCGGACGTTTATAACAAACGTTTGGTTTGATTCTATCGTATAAGAAGCTTACTTTTTTGATGCCTTTTGACTGGATGACAGTTCGTCGTATTGCAATCATTAATATATTTACAAAAGTACTATAATTTACTTATATCGAAAGTCAGCGCATACTGTACCTTCTCTTTATGTATGCATAGCAAATAGTTAGGAATTGGCAATAAACCTTTTTACTAATGCATTTATTACTAATTTAATGTAAATATCCTAAGTAATTTTTAGAACTTAACATTAAGTCATTATGTGTATTGTAAGGTTGTATCGTGTGGGATGTTGAAGGAGTGTCAACAAGTGGGAGAAGGTGGCGGGACGGGGCGGAACATGTACCATTACATTCTTAATTTACAGTTTATAATTTAAAAGAATAGAACAAGAAATAGAGGATATTCAAGTTTTTTTCTATAAATACATGATGATATTAAAATCCGATCACTTATGAAAATAATTATTTCATGAGTGGCGGTAGCCACGAGTGAAATATGGTAATTTTCATGCCACAAGATGAAAATAAATCATGTATTTATAGAAAGAACTTGAATTTTCTGTTTATTATATACATTTTTCTCCTTTTTTGACGTTAAAATTTGAAAGACTTTCCTTTAAATTTTGTGTACTGGCAGAATTTAAAAGAAAGTAGTCCGGCAAGACACCAGTGAAAATACGGAAATATGTTTCACTGCAGTGAAAAATAAATTTTTACAGTGAAAATACGGAAAATGAAAATACGCATTTTATTTCATCAATATTTCTCAATATTTCATTTATAAGTATATAATAAATAAAGATATTGAAACTTGACAATATGCTCATTTAAGTTAAATCTAAAATAGTCTTCTTATGTGTGAAATATTCATATAATATGTTGAGAACATGAGCAAAAACGTCGAGGTTTATATGAGATAAACCCGTTTCAGATTATGCTGAACTAATATACTGTACAGTGCGAGCAAGCAGCTTGAACATGGTAATGTCAAAACGTTTAGAGAAAGTTTCACAACTCTATAAAATGTCATCTAAATGTCAAATAAACAACTCATAGGATCAGTTGACATGATGAAAACTTTAAGTCAATTCAAGTCAATTTTCTTAAGAAATGCACTTGATTTATAAGAAGTGAGAATCAGTTATAACACTCACATAACACTATCTACAATTACACTTCGCATTATTCCATGTAACATCGGCGATTTCCGTGATCTAAAATTGCACGAAAGTACTACGGTTATTATAGCTGAATCAGCGAATCTCAATGATTGATAAAAACATTCATGTCTACAGATTCAATACTAAATAAAATGATCCCGCTTGATTAAACAATATTGTGCTCGCCTGAGTCTAGTGCATGTGATACGATTTTATTTAACTCCTTCAAAACCTTTAGTATTGAATCTACATTCATTCAATATCCTCTTTTTAATTCTTTGTTAGCTGGGTTTTTTTAATTCTATTTACATTTAGTGCCATTACCAAAACTTCATGACAATATTTTTAATGCACATAAAATGCATGTAAACCTACAGATACTTAATTGTCAATCCATATCGATTGTTGGAAATTTGGCAATGCATAAGTTGAAAACAATTACGGTTCACAATCATACATAGAAATTCTTAATTAATTTTTCAGCATTTTATTGCTTTATGCCTTTTTTCTTTTTTGTATAATGTATTGACAGTTACGCATAGTTTGTCTCAGATAAAATGTATATCCTCTTTCTTTGCTAAAACCGGTCGAAACTGGTTAGCGTGTTACTAGTCGGAAAGTCTTAGTAGGCTCTAAAGTTACTGCTGGTAAGTAATTTTTATTTGTTTGAGTCGTCACACCAAACAAAAAATGGTAGCGAAATTTTAGACTCTGGTGTCCTTATTTGCAAAATCCGAAAGTAGTCTTAACTCCTCGAAGCGGTTATTCCCTTTATAAGTACACTAACGCCGAAAAATAAAGGGGAGATCACTGCGTAAAGATTGTCAAATGAATGGCGCATTAATTTTCAAGCCTTCTCGGGCAAGAAAATATAGTTCCCGATTGGTCGAAGATTTCTAATATTGTGTTATTCTTTACAGATATGCATGCTTATATAAAGCTCCATGATTATTTATATCAGTTTAAGACAGGTTTACTGTGAACAAAATATCTCGAAATTAATTAGTCTTTATGCTGTAATTTTTTAACTTCCCCGTGGTCTAGTGGTTACACGCTCATTTAGGAAGCGAGAGGTTTGGAGTTCAAATCCCAGTTAAGTCAGGCATTTTTTTGTTGTTTTTTCCCCTTATTACAGATTCCAAGCTGGGCAAATTCTTTGCATAAACTCAGCATGAAAAGGATAAAAATTACATATACCTACAATTAAGCACGTCCTTAATCTTTGCGTTATATTCATTTTTTTTAAATTTTTATTAAGGTAAACCACCCCTAATGGGCACTATAAGGAACTGTAAAATTGACTACATAGGACAGTTATATGCATTAAAGGTCACCTGTACGCAAAATGTAAACCAAATTTACCGTGTGGCTTATAATTTCTTGACATTTTTTCTGAACTATAACTTTGCTATTAGAGCTCTTTTTCAGAAATGAGGGAACTCTAAATAATATATTATATCATCATTATGAAAAATGTTTTCTATTGCTCATTGTTAAGAAACAAATAATAACATTCAGGTAAAACAATACATGAGCAAAATGGTTATTTTTAAACAAAATGTTTTAGTGTGTATAAAATGTCACCCTACCCTACCAACTTTAAGCATTTATTTGACCAGTCCCCTACGTTAAAAGCCTTATTCAAAATATCCCTGAAATTTACCACAGTGAGGGGCTATTTTCAAAGTTTGCTTATTTTTTTAAAGTAAATTGGTTGATCTTGCAAAATATAAAAAAAAATTACCTTGAAAATTTCATTTTATTAAACTTTGAAAATATCTGGTATCATATTTGCTATTATATTTGACATTATTTACCAAATAAATACTTATTATATAATTAAAATCAAACACTTATTTCTTTCCATAAAGGATCTGAGAGATACATAACTAATGTTAAAAAGAAAAGAAAAAAAGTTGCCCATTCTCGGGTTTGAACCCACGCACCTCAGTGTCAATGCAATTGACAAGTGATTCTAGCCTATTTGAATACTCTTCAAAGTGGAGGTAATGCATTAAACGTTGTCTACCTTAAATTGTGTGTAGCTGTAAATAATCATGAGTTTACAATTATGAAGGCACAGTTTAAATGTTCTATAGAAATCCAAGTTGTTATTTTAATGATCTACCCGGTATTTTTGTCGTTTGTTGTAATTCTATATATCAATTATCAGTTGTTAAATCATGCCTTATTCATATGAAGATCTGATTTTTCTTCTTCTTTTTTCTGTGCATAATTAGCGTTAGAAATAAATCAAGGACACTTTGGGTAGCTAAAATATTAAAGTTTGACAAAAAGACTTTTATTTACAGTCACTCTTAAATAGTGTTAGGACAAATTTTGTCAACAATGGAAAAAGGAAATATCATAATTATAAAGTGTTTCTTGGGGATACTTTGTAAAACATATTATATATATTCAATATGGATTGTAGGTAAGTCTTAAAAAGATTTCTAATACTGTTTTACAAAAAACAAAATTACTCACTCAAAACTTGTGTGTAAATTAGCACATCAGAGAGAATCAGGTTTTTCTGTTTATAGTCAGGATAATGTGACGCAAGAGCATGTTTGACAATATATTTATATATCAAATTCTTTGGTTGCTATGAAAATCACTGGTTGCTATGTAAAGTCAATGCTTGCTGTAAAACCCATCGGTTGCTATGGAATGTCCTTAGTTGCTATGTGAAGTCAACGCGTGCTTGCTGTAAAAGTCACTGGTTGCAATGGAATGCTCTTAACTGCTATGAGAAGTCAAGGCTTGGTATGGAAAGCACTTTTTGTTAGGAAAGTCAGTAGTTGCTATGAAATACAGCTGTTGCTTTCGAAAGTCGATGGTTGCTATAGAAGTCACTAGATGTTGTTGATAGTCATTGGTTTTCTATGGAAGTCATTGTTTATGAAATTGAGCAAATGGTTGCTATGGAAGATACTTGTTACTATGGAAGGTCAGCAGTGACTATGGAAGTAAATGGTGATAAATAACGATTTGCGTCGTAAAGAATCTAAATCTAAAATAATTTAATATATATATATATATATATATATATATATATATATATATATATATATATATATATATATATTAATTGACATGATAACAAAAACAATCTTTTAGTCATCAACCTATATTTTGGTATTTTTTATATTAAAGGAAATAATTTTGAGCAATAACTTATCATTAAAAGTATGAACAATTTAACTAGATTCTCTAGATTCTAATGATTTATCCAGAATCTCCTTGATTTTTGCACGCATACGTAGGCGATTTTAAGTACGTTATAATACATATGAGCATTTTGATTGGTAAAGGAATGACGCTTTCTTATTGGTAATACATTTTTTCAGAATGAAAAAGGAAACAGTGTTACTCGACTTTTACGCTTTAAAAATTACAATTACTCTTTAGACTCATGCAGTTGAAAGGCATTTAGATCATAACTATATGAATGCGCCTGGTGTTTTTTCAACAGACGCGTTATGTACCATAAATAAATTTGATTGTACCTAAGACTTATCCCCGTGTGGAGATCTAACTAAAATTCTATTTTTTTTCCAAACGAAACCATGATCTATACTTCTAATCATCACGAATCGACAATATAACGTTCGTATATAATATCTCGCATTTGTTATTGTTATAATACATATCTAATATAAATAATCTGACTTACAATACAGCTTTGTCCTGCCTCTTTGTTAAAGAATGCATCTAATAAGATCAATTATTTAATGCACGCTACGTGATAATTATCTACGTAAATACTATAAAACCAAACAATTTTTTTATGTAATGGCATTCAACTTATAATCCAACATGGCCACCGCGCATGCGCTGTACATGCCGCTAAAGTTGCCCATATCTTTACGTAAAGTATTTGATCGGACTTTCAGGCAAAATAATTATCATAAAGATTGGTGTAAAAACATTAAGATGTCACAGTTACCTAATGATATATAACCTTTTCAAGCACAGAAACAGAATTTTACAAAAAAAATCTCAATTTGTGTATAACAAATAACTAGATTTTGAGATGTTTTTTTTTTCTTCATCTGAGTTCTATCGTGGAGATTGACTGCCTACTTGGATACCTTAAGCATTATCATATCACTACAAGCATTTCTATATTGATCAGCAGGTATATTTGGTACCGAATTGAAGTACACGATGCCTACTGGATTTAGTATGGTCTGTGATGTAGCTGCTCTCGTTATACTAAAAGATCGAAAAATCTCTGGTGCCATAGGATTGATCTTTATTGGATGTAAGCAATTTTTTTATTCAATTTATCCATTAAACCAATATCAAGAGAGGAAAACATAGATAAAACCTCGAAAACTCGGCTTTTTTCGCTAGTTTCCGTATCTAGTAAATATGTGATTGTTAATGAAAATTCACTTACACATCTTGCAATGAGGTGGACATGGATTAATTCTTGGTAAGACGGTGGTTCTATTCATCTCTGCCTGAAAGATTACAATGATGAGACGATTAAGGTCTTTGGCTGCCAGTAACGCTAAAAAATCGCCATATGAAACAATCGGAACTCATAGGCTGTTATCAATAATGCCCTCGGACTGAAAATAGTTTAGATGTTAACAAAACCAGCAGATTGTGTCTGAAAATCATAATGAATTTAAAAAATCCCCATTGTTGTACAATTATAAACAAATCTTAACTTCTGTCAATAGGTAGACATTTGTACTTTCGGTTCCTACAACCATTATTAAAAGTTTAATTCTAAAATAATGTACTGTTTACTAAATCTATAAATTTACTTCATTTAGATAGACTTTTTCTCTATATATTGGAACAAACTTAAATTACTGCATTAGATTACTTTTTTAACATGTTTAGATTCTTACCGTTGTTAAGACCGAAATACGAGTATCAATATGGTTCGAATACTATAATTGTAAATTTCTTTCAACTTTTCATATTTTATATCTAAACGTTAAGTTAAGAAGAAATATTATGTAATAGTGAATTTTTAATCTTACAGCCGTTTGGAATGTTTATGCAACGTTTGGACTGATCACTGAAACAGGATATATATCTATGTTTTGCTTCATGGAGCTTGCTTTTGTAAGTTTATATTGTTCTTTTTTCTCTTTCTTAACTTGAATACGCAAATGTTTGCTACGGATGGATAGGGATTCTGTGTCCGGGCAAAATGGCCGCATACTACTTCTAATGAAACAATTAAAAAAAGGTCACAGCTGTCACGACTAGCGGTTAAACATCCTACCGGGGTACTCGTGTTTGTATAAATTCAAGTCTACTCGCAAGCTTGAAATCTTCCTTCTCCTTATATTACGTTACAGTTTAGCTCCCTGCCTACATTTACTACGATATCATATAGTATAGGGGAGAGGAACATGAGACTACTGTTTACACTCCTTTTCCTGGCAGGGAACCAGGCTAAACTTCCTTCTCTACAAACTGACAATGCTTTTATGGGAATTCCTTTGACAGAGAGATTGATTTGCATCAATCTGTTTTAAACATACTCCTTGTAAGCAGTGTGCCTTAGGCCGTAAATAATATATAAGAATCAAATAGGGAGGATTAAACCATGCATATTCGAGACATTTATTTTCATTATTATATGTATATATCACTAGTACTGATTATTCAGTACGCTTATCTAATGGGATTTTTATGACATTGTAGTTATACAAAAGGAAGAGGTTTTATGTGTGTGAGAAGTAACCACTTAATATGACACCATTTTTTACTTTTAGACTAACTTTAATATTTTCCTATTTCAGGCTCTTATAATGGGATACTATCACTGTTTTCTACACGTGGAAACGAATAAAACCTCGTAGGAAGAAGAACAATACATTCAACCTTAAAGGGACTCCACTGAGGTTTTTTGACATGATGGGACTGAGACAATTTTTTCCAGATAAATATAGCATTTGATGTAGGTTTAGACCACTAATCTTTGTGCAAAATTTCAGATCATTCGCGCACTTCGTTTTTCCAGAATTACTATTCAAATTGTAAACAAAATGAACCAAAATGAAAAGCGTTTAAACGCTTTTCACTCAAATCGGGCTAAGAAAAACATAAAAATAAGGTTTTCAATTTATTTCAAAATATATTTCTTAACTATCTTTGGATATATTTCTGCTTAAAGTGCCCCAGCTGATTTTTGTAAACAATTCAAATGTTATGTTGTTAGGCTTTTAAACCTCAGTGGAGTCCCTTTAAAAATATACAATGGTCAAAGTACTTAAAACGTTCTTCTAAAAGAGGTTTAAATGACAACACTATAAAAGGGACACAACTCTTCGTGATCTATCAAAACAATTAGATCCGAACTATTTTCTTGAAATACTGTGCACACATTGATTATTTTTCTCAACGGACACTAAGATATGGGAAGACAAATTATATCAAAAGTCTTATCTAAATTAATGTTCTTATCAAATATATTAAAAACCGGACATGAACCTGTTTAACAGATACATATGTGTGGTTGTTTCCGGTTATATACAAACGAGGGATAAAATTAACATGTACTTGTGGATATACAGGACAATATTGTTTGTTTAGTTTTTGTAACCCGTATAAAAACATAAATTTTCCTCAGTTTCACGTCCGTTGTTTTTACACAGCCAAACTTCCAACAACAAACATTATAAAAGACTCGATCAAATACATTGAACTATATGAACTGGCTACTGTCGACGGAATTCGTATTTGATGATTATAATAACAATAATAATAAATAATATAATCGAAAACGCACAATTAATTCATATGTTCGAAAATAAGGTCCAACTTTTAACATTCGCAAATATCACATGTTCTATACTGTATGTACTACCGGATAAACATATTTTGATCGGAACTCATTTCCAGGATTCACATGAGGGTGGCCCTCTTGTGAAAGTTCTCTCATTGTATTTGTACCTACTTCTTTCAAATTATTTCGCCTGATAACAATCTTGACTTATAGGTATTTACCGATGTTTTTGTAGATTTATGAATACTAAATTTGAATAATTCTTTATTTAATCGATTAGTTTAAATTTGATAGTGGAAAATTAAGGGGTAAAATTGAGTCCTTGCATGGAAACTATGCAATGTATCTAAACTGATCGCTTCTCTCTTCTTCATATCAATATATTGTAAGCCACATTGGGGACGTCTATTTCGTGCCTCCGATCTGTAAGCTGTTTTGTGTTTGTTGATGGTGGAAGAAGAAAACAATCTGTCCAGGGTAGTGCTATATTCAAAACGACTCTTGTAATCGCCATCCACCCGAGTTAGTCACGACACGTCAACCAATCATCCCTGCTACACAGGTCGTGTGATTTCTCCGCGAGGTGCACTCCTGGAGAAGGATTTTGCGGAGAAGTACAACAGAACAACGACCCGAGTTATCTATCAGATAATTTTAAACTGGTTAATATATTTTATAATTGTTTGAATATCCGAATTTTAATTATCAAAACTCCTTTCTTTATTAGATCTACGAGCAAAGTTTTTCCACCTTTGTGGCAAAATAATCTGATAAAATTTTGACAAAAAATATTACAACTAAGACAAAAAAAATCTTACAACTAAAAGAAAACGTATAATAAGGTAGTCGCATATAAGTTTTGATGAATAAAATTCCACAATTTTCTGGTGCAATGCTAACATTGTGGTTCCGCTGGTGAAAAAAAAACACATCGACACTTAACCGTGTCGTTCAAAGAAAGTATGCGGAATGCTTGATATCTTTTGTATTGCCTCCCTATTACATGATTCTTATTAATTATGCCAAAAATAAAAACATCACAAAACAATTTATTTGCCGGCTATAAACACAGCAGCATTCTGTCTTGTAATATTGAAGCAGACGATTCCGCTCCTAATACAAAATCAATTACACCATGACAAGTATTCCGCAGAGGAATAAAAAAACCCTGAAAATCGGCTTTTTTATTTCACTATCCAAACAAATTGGTCTGTTATAACATCGGAAGTTTATAACAATCGTTCGGTTTGATTCTATCCTATAAGAAGCTTATTTTTTATATCTTTTAACTGCATGACAGTTCGTCGTATTGCAATCATTAATATAGCTACAAATGTACTAAAATTTACATATTTCGAAAGTTCAGCGCATACTGTACTTACTCTATATGTATGCATGGCAAATGGTTAGGAATGGACAGTAAACATGTTTACTAAAACATGTATTACTCATTAAATGTACATATCCTAAGTTATTTTAGAAGCTAAACATTAATTAAGTCATTATATGTATTTTAAGATTGTATCATGCGGGATGTTGAGGGCAAAGGAGGGGGGCTACCATTACAATATTTTGAAAGTTGCCGGAAGTCCACGGGGGAAGTGAATTGTACAGTATATTATTGATAGAACGACACAAAACCAACCTTCTATCAATGTTAAAAAAGTGTGTTTGCTTTTTTAAAGACTTTGAAATATAAATGATAAAAACTTCGAATTACTTGAATCTACGTTAAGAGATTATGTTAAGGACATGAGAAAACTCCGTTGTTTAATATGAGAAAAACCCGTTTCAAATGAATTTTGTAAAGTGTAAGCAAGCAGCTTTTTTCGTGGTAATGTCACAAAATGTTTAGAGAAATTTTCACAGCTCGATCAAATGTCATCTAAATGTCAAAGCAAGTGCAACAATAAACAATTCATAGGATCACGTAATGTGATCAGTCAATTTAAGTCAAGTGTCTTTAGAAATACATTTGTTTTTCAATTTATAACACGTATAATTACACTTAGTATTATTCCGTGCAACATCGGCGATTTCCGTGATCTAAAACTGGACGGAAGTACCTCGCTTATTATAGCTGAATCAGTAAATCTTAATGATGGATAAAAAAGATAATTTGCATACAGATATATTAATACTTTATTTAAGAAAAACACATCATAGTATCCAATATGGAACATGGTAGAGTGAACACTGTGTTATAAATGCGTTGTATAATTTGACACAAAATTTTAAAGTATCTTTTAACATAAACCTTGTTAATTGATATAATACATATGATTAAATATAATACTGGTTTTAATTTATTGCATGTAAAATAGTTTGAACAATACAACACATATAATAAATACTTATTGCACTCTTTAAAAAGCATATGTTTGCTATAGCAGCCGTGTTTCGTAAGACGTTTAAAACATAAAAATGTAACAATGCAACATGACGATCACAAAACTTCCATGAACAGGCTCAATCAAACCGAGCCTGCAACATTTTCAATTTTGCCGTGTTGGGCTTTCGTTAGGGATTCTGTATTTATCTATTTTAACTATGAAGATTGGTTTGACTTAATTCACAAAGGAAACATTTGTTTCCAGTTATTGTAATCTATTAAATATCTTTACGAAAATATCTTAGGTAAATATGTGTTTAAATCTGAAAAAAAATAATGTACGAATCAAACATTTGTTAGTTAAAATATCGTAGGTCGCAAAAATGGTAATTATGAATTTCACATAAACATTAAAGTTAGCATTAAAATGTTTATTACAAAACAATCTTTAATATTCATTATGTAGATAAAATTCAACAACGTGTTTATATAAATTAGAAATTCATATCTAATACGTGCAACTATACGAGTTCATGTCTAGGATTTTGACCTTGAATACTTATATAACATTTAGTTATTGTTTGCAAAATATTTTTGCATGTTCAACTCATTGTGTTATGGCTGTACATATACAGTGTTAGCATCGTAACAAGTAAGTTTAGACAACTACAAACAACACTAGTCCTGTATCAACATGGGCAAAATTGCTTAACACGACAACACAGTTAATAATACATAATTGGTGATAAACTTAATGTCATTGTACACATTACAAAATTGCAACATATTGCTTACCATTTTACATAAATATTTTATAATTGTTCCTGAATCAGGAAGAATATATTCGTTGCTAAAAATAATATTTTGGCACATTTTTTGACAGATATAAACTATAAACTGCTAGATTTAATTTCTACGCTAGACTATTCACATAACTTAATAATTATACATGTATTCCTATTACATTGTACAAAAACAAATCACCTAGTAACCATCAACCCCGAAAGACTAGATATAAAAAAAATCAAACTTGGCACATTTAATTTCTTCAGTTGCACAAACCTGTCAATGAATATCAGCATATCAATCATGTTTGTTAAGTCTAAATTTATAAATTTGATGCAATTCTGAAAAAAATCATCAATGTAACATGAAGTTCTTTTACGGAAATTTAAGAAGTTTGCCGGACCTGCCGGGATGAAATATAGATTCGATTTTAGCTTATTGGTGGATTGTTGCTGTACTAATTAATTTGACTTTCATCGGCATGCTATAAATCTTATAGAAACCATTATAAAATCAGCACAAGTGTTGAGAGGGCATAGTATAAGCTTTGCATTTCAATATGATCGACATATCAAAGCTATGCACATGCGTAGTTCAATATATCGTTGTGTACTAGTATATCATATAAGTAATTGTTATATATCGGTATTCACATCCTCGCCTTGTATATAATCATTACATACATAGTCTACTCATTTGCATTAACGTCGGAGTTCAATACCTTTCCGATTATATAATCATTAACCTCCGAGTTCACTCCCTTGTCTAATAAAGTAATCATTTCCTCCAGAGTTTAATCCCTTGCCTTATAAATAATATCATTCATAAACATCGGAAGACATATCCCGTCTCAGAAAATCATTTACATTGGTGTTAACTTCCTTGCCTCCAAAAAAATCTTTCCTTCAGAGTTCACTCCCTTGCCTAATAAATAATCCTTAACATCATGGTTTACTCCTATTCCTAAAATAAAAGAACTATTCAGGTAAATAAAAACTCCTTTGTGTTACAGACTGTTTATATCTTTTACATCAACCTACAACCGAAACAAAGCTTACCTAGATTATCTCCAACACAAGAAATTAACCACGGAGTTCACTCCCTTGCTTCTGCCTCAACTGAGTAATAAATTCTAATTCATCTTTTTTCATATAATAACATTCTTCAAAGCTTATACTGAACTGTTCGTTCCATTTCGATTGTTCAACTTGTAATAAATTATCGTTCCTGCCTTTCTGTGTCGGATAATTGCAATATTTGTTCAAATCAGTCAAAACATTTTTAAAATGAGAAACTTCGAACTTTATTTCATCACTTTCTTTGTTAAACTGATCCCAGAACCTTTCGTAAAAATAATCATATACTTTGTAATCAAGCTTATTTCGTGTTTTGAATTTTGCAACGTCGTTTGTTGTAAGGTCTTCCATTGTTTGCCCTTTGCCATACACGTTATTAGATACAAATAAAATATCCTTTAAGTTCCATTTCAAATACCGCTTCATAAGTATAAGTGACTCCTCAATGTATTCCACAAGCAATACCAGTTTGAAAGTTTGACCTAATTCTTTTAACTTCGCGTTTACTCGTCCCTCGTCGTTTGTTTTTGGAAATCCAAAATCTCGCGCCATTACGTTTTTCGTGTACGAGAAGAATTGCCTATCATATAGTTCGGGATTTTGAATAAGTTTCTGTAACCTATTCCCGCGGATTTTCGCTATGTACTGGATTTGCTGAGTAGGCTGTGTATAGTAATTTACAGCGGAAATAAACACTGCTAATGGGTCCCGAACAGTAGCTATATATACAGTATCAGTAGGTAGGAGGGATGAGTAAACATTATAGTTAAAAACACCATGAGTACATATAATATCATAACTTTTCCTATGTCTTGGTTTCACAAGCGGTAAATGTCGCTCAGGTATTCTGGAAAAGTAATTAGGATGTGAAGTAAAAACAAACGTCAAATTCCGCTTCAGTCCAAATCGGAAGAAAATGTTTTGCATGGTTGAACTCGCTGCCTTGTGAACCTTAAGGAATCCGATATGACGCACTTCCAACTGTTGCTGTTCTTTTTGTTGTTTTTGCTGTTGTTGATGATGATAATATTGCTGCTGCTGCTGTTCTAAACTAGATTTATAAAAAGTCTGATTTTCTTTATACTGTGAAAACTCTAAGTTACGATGAGCAATTTCAATTTTCATATTATCAGTTAATTGCATGTTATCTTCAGTTTGAAATGATCTTTCTGTCAAGCTCTGTTTTGGATGCTTCTGAAATAGCCCTTTATTTAAATGTACAACCGTGGCGTATTCTGTTTCCGTCGGCCCAAGTATTGCAATCACACAAATCACCATAGCAACCAGAAAAATACATCTGCAATAGAAAAAGTTGATATTTTCTGTTAAATAACTCAATCCCCAACTTAATTTTAAACGTGCGTTATAAGAAATTTAAAAGTTGCTGAATCATAACAGAAACACCTTACACTAGCCAGTGCATATTATCAGCTTACACACTTATTATCCTGGAGGCAAAATAGTGCCTGCTAGCATTGAATTTATTAGTAAGTTTCGAACTATGTGAAATATAATTACTAAATTACTAAATGCACGCGTTAATAAAGAAGTATGGCTGCATGAAAGTTATCAAAACGTTAAACAGTGCCTTGTGTGAATTATTCATGCTTAACAAAAAAGGTTGGTATAAAATGAAATGTCTGTAATAATATTATAAACGAAATTATAGAATTTCTACTGGCATAAAATGTCGAATCTTTCTCACGGCATTTTGATAATTTATTACTTTAGACATGCACAAAATACCAATTTCTTACCATGATATAAAGCATACATTTTCCATTAGATACACGCTATAATATAGTACCTTACTATGCTTAGTACATGTTAGTATTCAATTCTAATTCGGTGCTTTCAGCACTTTGATTTAATAAATTTCAATAGCAGTGAATGTGAATGTTGGATGATTATGGTTATTTGAAAGTAACGGTATCTTGAAAATTTACCAGTTAAAGCAGAGCATTTTTTTTTTATAAAATTCTTGAAATTGCAAAAAGGAAATGAATTAATAAGTTAATTATTTTATCTATTATGTAATTGTTAGACATTAAAACAACTTCATCGCGTGACTTCCTCGTGTTTTAAACTTGAAACGCTTATGTTATCTTTCCTGTAAAAAAAGCATTTATTCTGTTATAGTGCAAGATAACAGACATTCTAAGTTCTGACATAACTTTCGGTTTATATGTCTTCGAAAATATAAACCAATAATATTTCTAAATTTCGGGGACCCATCTTTCAAATAATGTCTATTATTTATTACTGTTTAATATGAAAGGTGGGGCTAGCCTTTGAAAATTGTAGTAAGACAGTGTTACCACCCGACTCCAATGACCCGCTCTGTAATTTCTAAAGTGACCCCGTTGTGTCATAAAACTCTCATATTACACGTAACTCGTCTATGTTCGTCTGGAAACATTATAATGTCTGTGGGTGGGCCACGTTACTATTGACATATGTGCTGAATACGAATAACTTCCAATAACAAACGGTCAATGCCAGATATTATATCCTGCAGCAAATGCATAGTTATTATGTAATTCACTAACTGGCACACAACAGTAATTTGCACCATATAAATTGATCATTGATAAGGGAAGAAATATTAAAATGGTCGAATAGCCCAGACACGGACCTTTTTGTTCATAAAAGATTAAGTTTAAGAAAATGATTTCAAACATCACTGAAGTTTGAACATCATTTTCGTTTTATTTATTTATTTATTTATTTATTTATTTATTTATTTATTTATTTATTTATTCATTAATTCATTCATTTATTTATCCATTTATTAATTAAATCTAATTTAATTTATTTATTGATATTTATTTTTTTATTTATTCATTCATTCATTCATTCATTCATTTGTTTGTTTATTTTTTTATTTATTTGCAATTTTTCCTATTTTAAACTTAAACTTTAAATGTTTAAACATTTTATCTCTATAATAATGTATCATATCACATTATATACAGGCATTCGACGCGTTGATTGCTCACTACACCTGGTATATATGTATCTTTATTTTTTACTTATTTATTGATTTATTTATTCATTTTTTTTTTCAAAATGACCAATCAAAGCGCCCAAGGACTGTGGTTTTATATCTATATTTTGATATCAAAACTTAGATTCAGGATCAGAATGTAGTTTTTAATCAGAGATTTTGCCCGAACATAAATAGCTCTGAATTTCATTTGCTAGTAGAATTAGCTTGACTGATAACATTTTACTTAGACAATTTACCACCAGGGGTCAAATCATTACATGTGTTTATATATAACATCATTGTATTCATATATAAAGGAAATTGGTAACATGTTTAGTAATTTCTCCTTGAATATTTATGAAGGAATTTTTTAAAGGTGCATACAAATGCTGTAATGAAAATTAAAACAGAGATAAAAGTACTAATTAACACTTTCGTGAAGCAAACACTTGAAGAAATACTATATGAATAAAAAACTGTAGATAACTTCACGTTAAGTGTACATCTCTACAAAATAGCAAATAATATGATAAAATATTACGCTTGGTCACATATTGTACTTAAAACATATCTATTTCTCTGATTAAAACGTTACATGAATGAGTAGGTTTCATACATTTCTTAACACTTCATATACTTTATTGTCATTATTATCATCATCATCATTATTATTTTTATAATTTTTTATTATTATTATTATTTTTATTACCACCAATACCACCATCATCATCGTCATTATCATCATTATCATCATTATTATTATCATTTTTTATCATTATTATTATTATTATTATTATTATTATTATCACGACCATCATCATCATCATTGTTATAATTATTAATTAGTTTCCTGACCTGAAGGAGTGCTGTTTAAAGATGCATCAGCACATTAATTGTACGCAAAAATTTGCCAAATGTCTGTAATTTAATATGCACTTGAAAATAAAATATAAACAAAAGCTATCACGAGTTAAGCTGTTTTTTTGTGACACAAATTAACGTAAATTAGTGTAACTTATATCGCATAGACATTTAAGCATTTTTGCGAACTATTAAATACAGCAATCTGTGTTAATTTGTGATGTCTATGTGAATAAATGCGCATTTAAAGGTTATATGTAAATGATGTCAGAACGCAATCGTGCATTTAAAGGGACAAAACATACATTCTATAAAGTCGATATATACATGTATGGCTCATAATTTTCTTTAAAAAAGAACTGTAAGACACTAACAGAAGTATCTAAAACGCTAACTAGAGCTAATTAGTTTGAGTCTTCAAGTAAATCTGTAATTGAAAAGTGCTAAAAGGTGTAACTACAAACAATTAGTTAATATATATCTTCTTACCCTGTAACTTTCCTGAATCTCCCAAACATTTTCTCTAATTTATCCGGCATATCTTTAGTTCCATCAATAAACTACACACTCTTGTGTAGAAAACAGCCGAACTAGCATCTCTGTGTCTGTGCTAAAAATAGAACTCCACGCGCAGCAGCAGCGCGAGATGAACCACGCGCGTGGTGTTTATCAATGGATTCTATTCCTACGATTCCCTTTCTACAGACAGAAATGGAATAATTTGACTGTTGATCAATACAAATTGTAAATAATTGTCGCAAATTTGTCCGTAAATTGCTTAAATTACGACTTACTTACAGGCTTTCGCTCATTGTTATACATAAAATATTTGTATTTCCTAAAATGCAGCCTAGAACTTTACTTTAAAGACAATGAATAAATATCACTTAACCGAAGTTTTATATTAATGGTGGCTAATGTATAATTGCACTTAATATTTGCTTTCTTTATCTTCCTTTTATAATGAAATTAAGGAAAACGGACAACAGTTGTTTACAAGAACGAAAACAAAATATACAAAATGGTCTCGTACGAGACAAATGAGTTTGTTTTTGTCTATATAATTTAGTCAATTAAATTCGATTAAAATATTATCAAAATTTGTGAACATTACCTGGTCCTGTTTTTTTATACATGTACAATTTTAAGCTTTTCTTTTTATCATTATTTATTAATAAGTTTATGTATTTGAAGTCTTAATTTGTGTCTGTACCCTTTCTGTCTTTGTTCTATAAAGCTGTGATAGTAATATGTCACATCATTCATGAACCATGCTTGAGACATATTGACCGTGATTTTGCATGGAAATGCGCATGCGCACGTATTCAACGACTCCTTCGTGGATGTCATACATGATAATTTGGCTTTACGACGTATATTAATAACATTGAGGATGTTAAATAAGGAAGGAAACTAAATTATTTATACGATATTATACGTTCTCTCTTAATTGCTGAGTACGCTGTATGTATTATGAAGAGGAGGAAGTACTTGCTAAATTCTTAAGCTTCACTTCTAATTAAAGTTAAAATTGACTTTTACACAATATCAATATTGAAATTATTTAATAAATTCATCAATAATTTTGCTATAATTTGATATTTTTGAATACATATGAATAGACCTACATGAGATTAATCTAATGCAGGCTACTATAATTTTTTAAAGGCACTTTAAGCCTATGAGATGAATGAAAAATCTGTAGAAAGCGTAAATAATAAGAGGATATTTTTTCATTTGAGTGAAATATGGAATATATCGCCCCATTAAAGCAAAAAGGTGCCAAGCGACATTTTGGCCAAACATGACTTTTTAACATTTTTCATTATGTTTTAATGTTATCTTTAATCTGTAGAAATATCTAGGTAGTATCATGTTTATTTACAGACATATAAGGTCATGTAAAAATGTACAATGTAAATATTTTCCCATTCAGTAATGCAAAAAGGTACCATATGCATACCAGTTTGAGCAAAAAGGTACCAAGTGTCACATAGTACCTTTTTGCATTAAATGACTATATCAGTTTTGAGCACTTATTGTAATGCAAAAAGGAACCATGTGTCACATGGTCCCTTTCTGCACACAAAGATATTACGACCCTAAAGATTATTTTATACATTAAATTGTTTGCTTGGTACCTTTTAGCTTTTTACTGAATACACAATCTAGATGTTGATAAGGACATCAGATATGACAATATATCCCAGAGTATTGTTTCTGTTTTAAATTGAGGAATGATAACAGTGTGAAGATAATGATAGTGCATAAATGACTTCTCAACAAAAACGTGGACGGAGAAAGAAAAGTAATTGACTTTACTCTTGCCAACAAGATACATGGTGTATATGGAAGGAGAAACATGACAGGGAAGCATACATCTGCAAATAAACTAGATTATGATACAGTTAACCCATTACTTCATGAGCATTTTGTGAAAAATTGCTGTTTTCATTGAAAAGTCTCCCGTTACAAGTTCAAATTGCTATAATACTATAAAAACTGCTTCAACACTAATCAAACTTGGCACAAATGTTGACTGGACCATTGCCCTTGCAACAACATGCTCAGGCTTAAATTTTCTGTTACCATGGCAATGAGGGGACATCTCAAAATTGTCAAAAACCACTATTTTGCGTTGATTTTTTCAATCAAAATTTATTTCAAAGTGCTGCAACTTCTCAATGGATTGAGATAGAGTCAAATGCTTTTCAGTGTTTGTTACACGTTACCTGATAATCAATCTGGGGTCATTTATAGCCTCTCACAAGTCCAAAGTTTTCTTGGCGATGAGGGGGACTCCGCCCCCTTCAAACCCCCTGATGTATCTTTTGGTTGGGGGACCGCGCCGAAAAAGTGGTCACTGTTTTAACAACATTGCTCAAACAAAAACATGTGTTGGGGGCCTAAATAAGGCATTTTTTCACCATTTGAGACAACAAAAAAAGGGGGGGGGTCGAAAAAGGCGTTAAAAGGCGTGTATATCGCGTAATGGGTAAACAGAAAATGATGAAAATACTCGAATTACCCAAAATCGCGTTTCTCCATGTTAAAACATGGCCTGTCATATAAATTTGAAGAAAAATTGTTGTTTTGTAGATTTTTTTTTTTTCATTAAATTGGTGAAACAGCATACAGAGTAATTTCCTAAAATGATATCTTATTTTACAAGAAAAAACTGAAATAAACAATACTTATGTCATGGCTATGACTTTAACATTAAAAAGATGTGGAAACTGTAAACTATTAAATGTGAAAAGAAGGAAATAAAACCTGTTAAGCAACATACGTATAGGAAGGTCTTTTGTGAAAATTACAACCAATTATTTTCCAAACCCAAAAGAGACCAATATTCATTATGTACACTGTACAATAGAAGAAGGCAGTATGGTTATAAGATGGTACGATCAAGGAAAATATATTGAACATCAAAAACAGAAGGAAAATTCACAAGAAGAAAATGTTAAATTTCGAGCAAAAGGTGACAGATGAATTTGTGTTGCATGTTTTGATCTCAATGCCTTTGTAACAACCCCTTGCTCATTAGTGAGTCAGAGCTTTACTATTCAAGAAAGCTCTACACAACTTGACAGTATATTCCTTATGTATGTCATGTATGGGATAAAACCAACTGCAAAGAGAGGCATGTGAAATAGCTTCCTGCTTAATAAAAAACCTTTTTCTTCTTGCCAAAGTGGTAATGTCAAATAAGTCATATATTTTTCAGATTCATATGGGGGACAAAACAGAAATTGATTCGTAGCTGAGTCACTTCTTTTATATTATCACAAGTTCCAATGTTTAAGATTGATCATCACAAATTTCTTGTATCGGGTCACTCACAGATGGAGTGACAATTTGACTCTTGAAGGGGCAAAGAAAATAGTTCCTGTATAATTATGTAATCCTTTTAGGTTGTGTTCTCTTTTAATCACTGGCCAGAAAAATCACAGCCATACATTGCTTTGTGCCAATGAAATATAACCATATTTTTGATTTCAAATACTTCATTAAAAAACAGTGTCTGAGACTCAAAACATCCATTGACGGACAAAGAGTAAACTTGCTACAGGTGAAATGGATACAGGTACCAAAGGAAAACCCAAAGTCAGTATTTGTAAATTACAGCTTCAATGCTGAAGATTTTATGGAAATAGAAGTTCAGAATACAGAATCTACATGTAGACAGAAAGAAAGTATGTATCAGTGGATAAAAGGTGAACAAGATATGAAGTTATGATACCACACCGCCAGTTTCAATTCAAAAGAAAAATGACTTGCTTACTTCGTGTGCAAAGAAAATTATCCCAAAAGAGTTCCATAATTATTATGCCTACAGGAAAGAAAAGGGTTATGTCACGATGGAATCAGATGAGAATAATTCTAATTTTGACTAAAAATATTAGAGATTTTCACATAGGCATTGAGATTGATCACAGAGGAAGACTTTTAAAACATGCAGTGTGATAGTTGTATCAGACATTTACTGAAAACACAAGAATTTCATATTATTATTTGCATCATTGTATAATAAAACTGTAACCAAATGATGCTTTTTGTTAATATTGTTGGGACAAAAAGGTGCCAACTGCCATATGGTACCTTTTTGTGATAAATTCGACAGTAAATGTTAAAAATCATACAATGCAAAAAGGGGCCAAGCGATCATATGGTACCTTCTTGCATTTGTTGGTCAAAATATTCGTAAGTGCAAAAAGGAACCATTTCCTTTAATTGATTAATTATCACTAATTAGTAATATATAAGCTTTCCAACTTTTTGAGCATGTACATTTAAATATTATCTAAATATATGTGAAGTTGCTTTACCGTGTTGTAAAAACCTGATTTGATACGGAACTTCAAATCTTTAAACGCGATTTTCTCGAAAACATGAAAATGTCACTTGGTACCTTTTTGCTTTAATGGGGCGATATTTTCACGAAACATGATAAAATGCCACATATTTTCACGAGCCTGGACGGCGAGTGATAATATGAGGCATTTTATCATGTTGAGTGAATATATATACCATATTTCACGAAAAACGAAAAAATAACCTTTTTATTTAATTTCATTATCAAAGAAAAACGGTTATGAACCCCCTTGCCTGCTACGCAACTGCAATTATACAGCGCACAGTAATATAAGTATCGTCTTGTTTTGCGCGCTAAATAGATTGTGATGTCACGTAAACAACTTTTTAAACGTCTGTACAGCGTTAATGACTGAATTAAAGATATTGGTGTTCGGATTTATTTTCTTAGTTGGACCATTTTCTATCATTCTAGATAGTTTTCAAAACAAAATTCAACAAAAAAGTTGTTTGTATATTTATCAGATTTTTCAAAAAAAATGGCGAAAGAAGTCCCTTAAAATAAATACTAGTTTTGACTCCGCCCATTTTCATTATTATATTTCATATTTATTTTCAAAAAATATGAAATATATTTGACTGATATAGCACCATATTTCATAGGTAAAATTAAATAAATGTACTTATTAAAGCGTTTATCACCTGAAGAAAATAGTACTGAATGTGAAATAATTTGTTTCAAAAATAACAAAGTGTAAAGAAAGGGGCACAGTTTGATCTCTATACAAAATACTTATTCAATAAAACTGTTTCCAGAATAATTATTTTCATTGTGTAACAAGACCCCCAAAAATGAAAAGCATTGAAACGCTTTTTGCTCAAATCGGGTTGAGAATGGCACAAAAAATCGATATTCAATATTAAATCTGTAAATTTTCAGTATCATCCTTTCCAATTTTTTTTAAAATTCTAGTGCCTTACATTATCAACGTTAGAATTTTATGTTTTCAGGTTTT